ACAAAGTTCAAGTGGTGGCTAAAGGTTTCGAAATGGGTGACCACCTGCCAGGCCGATGCCGGCCAAGTCATAATAGCAGAAAGGGATGACAGCCTTTGGAGTAACTTGAAAAAGAACTGTTTCGGGCTTATTTACCTTCATTCAGCCAAGCATAACCCTGAACACCTGTTAGATACCAGCGGTGGACCAGCTGTGCCGTTACTGCTGCCCCTGATATATACAGCATGATCCATATCTTTTGAGAAATTCTACGAGAGCTATGGAACCACTTCCTCGAACCGTAGGCAAGAACGTACTGTTCCTTAAACAGGATGGACACATCATTCGGTTTATAAAAATTTAATTCGGTTCTAGCAGTCGATAGGTTTCAAAATCATTCGGAAATTAAGAAACCTTTTTTTAAACCGAAGGTAACCGTTCCTTTAAGAACAAAAATTGAAAAAAAAGCGTAATTTCCTATCAAATAAGTACAAGAGAGGATTTTTCGTGCATGCATTCCATAAGATATACTTGAATTTATAAAGGCAGTCAAAATCAATTATAAAAGTGCATCCTATTTAAGTAGCCATTTTTTACAGAACTAACTTTTTCAGAGCGGTCAGAAAGAAGTTCATCACAGAGCCGTCATCCTAGCGTGACTGAAAATAATTGAAATTTAACTGCTTACCGGTCTTTTTCAAATTGCGGAAAGCAGCACTCGCCATATTGTACTTACGTATATATAACTCTACGTATATAGTGAAATGGTAATAATTATAAAACAGTGAACAGATGTCGCGCACATGCTTCCATAAAAGGAGCCCAACATTAAATAAAATGAGTTTGCGTATCGGTTATTCTGTTTTGGTTATCCATTTTGAGGCATTCATTGTCTGTGTTCCTAGGTTGCTTAAAATGAATATAGATCTTCTCCATGATTTTCTATATTTTTCATCTTCATGTCTTTTTAAATGTTTAGATTCTACACATAGTACAGTTCACATATCAATGCGTTTACCCTTTGGAAATGCATTTACGTGGAAAAGCACATGTTAGCGTTGAACATCAAGGACATACGCAGTGGATCAAAAAACAGGTGCTGTTCAACTTCTTCGGGGCCCCCATCAAAATATTTGACATTTCCAAGTGCGTCAGTGTGCTGAAAAATTCGTAATTCGTTATCTGGAATATTCTAGGTGCAATTTTAAGTGATTCTCAAATAGAAAAAGGTCTTGCTTTAGTTGCAGTACCCAAATATCATATATTGAAAAATCGAAACGCAGCAACATTCCTTTGAACTAAAGTGTGCACTAATTTATGGGATTTTGCATATGTAACCTGCCAGAATATAAATTAAGACATCAACTGAATAGCAGACGATCTCGTATGGTTCGAACCCTTGTGACTACCCAAGTCCTGCCTTCAAACATTCAAGACGCTTCCATAGACTTTATTTAAATGAGAGTCATGAAACTTCAAGTTGCTTATGTGAAGAGTGATCAGACTTCTGAAGAATTTGGGCAATGATTTCTGTTGTCATAGCAAAGGTTAAATATGTAAATGCTATAAAATTGACACTTATGAATATGTTTTAAAAAAAGAGGGAAATCTCTTAGTGCAATCTCAAATCGTTGACACCAACAGCTTCTCATGAGAAATCAGCAATGCAGAAAACCGAAGAAAAACGAAGGAACGCCTGAGTTTATATATGCGTTCGCTTAACGGAAAACTGACATTGGTGGTGACAGGCTGAAAGTGAGTTTTTAGAAACATGGCAAGGAATTGATATTCACACATTTGGCATACCTCTACCTCCTCGCTGTACAGTATCAACACTTCGGTTTCTTCTGTGACGTTCAAGTTGAGCTCTTTGACCAGTCCATCGCCTTCTACGACTGTACGGTAAACGAAAAAAGGCATCTTCTTAACTGAGCACACAAGGATATGTGTATATGAGAACCATTTTATTCTAATAATAAAGTTTGTGTAGCTGGTTAAATACCCTCAGCCCCCGAATTCTGTCTTATAAGGCCGGTGTTGTTCATTAAGGTTTTCATTTTTATTAAGCTTATAATTTAAAGTTAAGGATACATTTAGTTAGGTTTTTAGTTTAGTCAGTATTGTGAAGCTTAACTCAGGCTAGTTAGTTTAGTCAAGTATATGGTATTTATTTCAGTATATTTATCTAGCGTTGGCGATCTGTAACTTAACTAAAAACTGAACTCGATCAATGTCTATTTAGTCTCTTCTATAGCACTCAAAAATGCCATCCTTCTGTAATACGGAACTGGGTAAAATAAAGGTTTTACAATATGAGCAATACAGGATAAAGGAAAACTAAACTAAAAACGCAAACTTAGAACTAAAATAGAAAATACTTTCACATTTTCAGTAGCTATAGTAAACCTAAAACCTAAAAGTAAACTAAAAACCAAATAAACTAAATAAGCAAAGGTAATTCACAATAATCTAAACTGACTGAAATAAAAAGAAATTTAAAACTATAACCAAACTAACACACCTCAAGAATTAACTAAAGGGAAAACTAAAACTGAAAATGAAATAAAGATAAGTAAGATGTGTAAATAAGTGTCCTTCTCTTTTTATTTATGGCGCAGGCCTTTTTGAAAAAATTCTGGGAGGTAAACTAGACGTCTACCCTTAACTCATCTAAATTTAAAAGTAAACTAAAACTTCATAACTCATCTTAGTCTCAAGTTAAACTAATAGCACTAAAGGTAATCAGAAAAAACTAGAGGCGGTATACCTTTTGGGTGATAGACAGAAATTATTGATGTCCAATTTAAGTAAATCAAACATTATCGCCCAATACCTATAAAGTAAACCATAGTAACCAAAGTTTACCTGGGGAATTACCCTCCTGGTCCTTGATAATGATGGCCGAGGCGAATTTGTCCAAAACCAGCGGTTTTAAGATAATAGTTCCTACGCCGGCATCTGGCGAGTACCACAACACTGAGTACTCTCTGGCTGCAATATAGAAAGCAAACATATGGAGCACTGGTTACAGTCTAGGAAAAGCCGAAAAAAGAGGTATAATTGTTTGTTTGACTTAAATAAGGCCAATTTCCAGTTAATCTGCCTACCTGTCAGAGGTTGCCAGCAGGATTTTCCAGGCTGACAGGGATTAGATGGGGAACCAGTTGAGACAGAAATACCTCCCAGGGTAACTGACTAAAAACAACACAAAACCGTCATTTAGGATGTCCGTTCACGCCTATTTATTAATTAATTAATGCCTTACCTCAACTGTCCTATTGAAATTGTACACCAAAGCAAACGGCATATTCGGTGCTGCCGTATCGTTGATAACCTCAACTGCTAAAAAGTAATAAAAGCAATGATTCGAAACTCATTTCAGATACTTTTTTAAAAATTTACTTTCAATACCAACATAACAAAACACTGAAACAAATGCACATACCTAATATGTAGGCAACAACAGTAAGTAGCACTCCAACAACGCGCATTGTACCAAAAATACACGCAGGCTTTTAACAATGAAGACCAACGCGGTCACTTAACCAAAATTTGAATCGTTTTTTCCAATAAAACATCGCCACGGGTCGAATTCTTACCTTTGTATACATGCAGAGTCTACTAGTTCCTTGGGAATTTTGTAGTACGTCTTTACATTTAAACTTGTCATTCAAGGGCATGCAAAAGTACAACATCGAAGTAATCATATCAAAATATACCGCAAAAAACAACGCGGGTAAATTAAAGGACGTGTTTAGTACGCTTTGGGAAATAATCATACTTTTTTGATCTCGTATTGACCCTGTCTCCACGCCAGCACGTCTTGTAGCTGTAGGTGTGTCTCCATCAATAAAGAGGGTTCAAATTCAGACCTCTGTTGTAGCGCATCCTTAAATCATGACAGAAAACATTCCCAAGGATTGCTAGACTCGCTAATCTTACATTGTTGGCAAACCGCCTCTGTCATGTTGCTACAGAGGAAATTTCACCGTGGTTCAAATCACACGACTGCGGTCCCGTTGGTTGTTTTATCTGCGTGCTGTCTATAACAGCCCGTCTCTGCGTTTGTTGCTTTTCTATGCTGAGCCGTTTGATTAATGGCATGACCCTCTCTGCATCTTTGAAAACAATGAAAAGATTCGAAAACTCGTTTCAGCTTTTTTTAAAATGACAACATTGACACTTACTATATACGGAGACAACAAAAGCAAGTAGAACTCCAACTCCAACACGCATTTCACCTAAAAATATGCAGGCTTTTGATAGTGACGAAAGGCGATGTTATAAAACTACAATTTGGGCCGCGTTGTCTACAGAGAGCGATGCAAATCGAATTTTTACCTCTGAATACGTGAAGGCTCTACGAGTGTCTGGTTTAACTCTCTTTTATGTCTACATCTATACGATTCTACATTCGACGATTCAAGAGCAGACAAAATTACAGCATCTTATTAATCATACTAACTATACCAATCCAAAAACGCCGGTGTTTTGATGGGCGTGTTTTGTAAGTTCTGTGAATAACTTACGTTTTTTTGGCTCTCGTGGAGACACTGTCCCACTTTCTCCGCTTAAGTACATAGTGTAGCTGCTGATGCAGCTCTATTGATAACCGGGGTCGGAGTTCAGACCTCTGATTGGCCACAGCCCTAGATGATGACACCAACCATTCCCAGGGGTTGCTAGGCTTACTGATCTGACATTGCTGGCAACACACCTCTGCCATGCTGCTACAGAGGAAATTCCAACGCGGTTCAAATCACACGACTGGTGTCACGATGTTTGTTTTATCTGCATGTTGTGTATAACAGTCCGCCTCTGCCTTTGTTACTGTTCTATGCTGAGCCGTTTTATTAATGGCATGCACCTTGTCTGCACCTTTGATTAATGGCATGCACCACTTCTGCGGCCTTTTCTGTTTGATCACACTTTGAGCACATGTGCCTTGGAGGTTGACGAAAAAGACGTGTGCCCTGTCGGTATTTGGTGGTTTGAGGAAAAGGATACCGCTGGTGATAAAGGAACAAGGATATTTAGTTTTGGAATGCGCCTCCAGGTACTGTCAATGATGCAGATGTAATGGCGTGGAACGGAACTAGGTCCCGAAGTCGTGGGGCTGAGCTAATCTGGCGATCTCCACATTGATGTGTGTCTGCATGTCCTTAACTGATTTCATTTAAGCGAAAATTGAATTTAACCACCTCTAGCAGTTGTGC